TTTTTTTTTTTTTTTTTTTTTTTTCTTTTTTCTTTTTGGCGTTTTTCTTTACTAGGTTTAACTGATATATAGAGACTTCAGACGTGTATATTCGAGTATTTTGTATTTTCAAGGACGCCTACTTTCAGTTTTCCTCGTGTTATTTTACTCACTGCTCCAAACGGAAAGCATCGAGGATGTAGTGAAGCTGATATGTATGATGACGCCAAAACTTTAGTCATACTTAGATATATGAGTTTGGTTCGTCTTCACTACAGAGCTGACCGAAAACAAAAGCAGTTCCCTTGACAATTAAGGCTAAATCTTTCAAAGTATTTTTATTTTTGATGAAAAGAAAATGAAGATTAAAAACAAAATTCGAAGTCCACTCCAAACACGCTTTCGTGCAACTTTCGTGCTTTGCCAGAACATTAAAACCGTGTACTAGTCTGAAGTTGCTATTCAAGAACCAAAAACTAAATGAAATGATTTCAGGACGAACTGTAATTAGAAATAACGGTAATTAGTAGTAACTGTAATGAAAAATTTTAAGTATTCAATTTAAATTTTGGAAATATCTTGCTTTCATGAAGATATATGGCAAACGATATTTTACAAGCAGGTGTTAACTCGCAGCGAGCGCAGGTTTAATTGAGAAGAACTGACAAAGCTGCAATATCCTAAAAAGATTTCAAAACAATAGGATATTATTATAATCGAAAATAACAGCGACTTATCATGTGGCGCTGATGTGAGGGTGATATTTATCATATGTGCTTATTCGGTGTTTGGCGCTGAGAAAACATTACAGTGCCTTTCAGTATCACGCGAACTCTGCCCAATCAATGGTTTTGTGTATAATTTCGCTGCCATCAATCATCTATTACGAAAAAGATAATATAAAACACGAAAGACCGTGTTTGACCACATTTCCACACACCAAGAAGAGAGTTGAAAATACGACGCACAGCGGAGTATTTTTGACGAATTTGGAGGTGTTTGGAAATTTGGTCAAACACTGTCTTGAGTGTTTGATATATCTTCTGAATCGAGACTAAAACTAAGGAGAAAACGGAGAAATAAAGTCGTTAAAATCTATGCTAATTAAGATCAGATATCCAAAGACCGTCACGATCATGATTTCCTTTGTTTAAACTTAATGAATTATTAATGAGTTTGAGAAACCTATTTCTAATTCAACGGGTGCAGAATGTCGCTTCTGTAATTTGTGATCGGTCGAATTGGAAGGTTTGTTAGTTGTCGTCGTAATTATGACGACAGACAAAAACGACATCTTTAATTAGGGTTTGAACGGCCTCAGAGCTCGCCTATTAGGCCCAAGGTAACTTGCCTCTATTTCATATTCATAAAGTTTGTAATTTACGTTTTGATCATTTCTCTGTTAAGTGTCCTCGATTAGTAAAGGGGTGTTACCTCTCAGCTAGCTAAATTTTAACTCATTAATAAATGTTTGTATTGTATTGCATTGCGGCTTTGCATTGCATTGCATTGTATTGATATGCTCCTGGTATGGTTTGTTCTTGTAGATGATATAAAGCGCCCTCTGATTGGCTAATTGTAGGGCATTATTCTCTCATAATGTCTACTGGCCGATTACAAAGCAAAAAGCCATAAAATAAATTAACTTATTAAACTCGAACGTTCAGTTTTTACGGGAAAATCTCAAACCTCGACCTTGCCGTATTGACCTCGCTATCGCTCATCAGTCACTGAATGCGGCAAGATTTTCCCGGAAAGACCTCACTCTCGCTTAATAAGTAGTAAGTATTGTATTGTAATGTATTGCATTGCATTGTATGATATTGAGTCAGACATCATCTTGAAGTAAACACGTTTTGTTTACCTCTTTGCTGTTTGAAAAATATATCTATGGCAAGTTCCTTCTTTCTGCACTGGCCTGTTGAAAATGCTCAATTTTGCATAAATTCCATCGGCCATCTTGGTTAACTGCGAGCGGTGTTTCGAACTTTCCTGGATTAGGATTAGGAAAATAGGTCACCAAGAGGGTCTTTTTGATGCAATAAAAGAAAATTGGAATTTTCGGTGCTGTCGTCGGATTCTCCATATTTAGAGACAGTGGCTCTTGATGATTTTAATTAAGTCAGGGTATTAATAGGTGCACATGAAATGTATTCTTGTTTGATAGGGAGCTTCCCAGCAGACCTGCCCTGAATCAGATTGTCAAAGTAACTGCTGCCACTCTGCCCTGTGTCAAAATGGCGGCACTTGTCGTGACGTGTGTCATGCCAACAAGAGAAGATACAGCTGCACATGTCCCGAGGGATTCTCGGGACACAGGTGTCAATTAAAAGTCCGATCATGCAGAGAAATCCTGCTGGGTGACAAGGTAAAAACCAATGGATTCTACAGCGTTTTTGACAAAGAAGACATCTTGTTCCAGGCCTACTGCGATTTTGGTTCTGAGCCTAATTTCGCATGGACTCTGATCATGTCCTACTCTTTTCAAAACAGAGGCACGTTCAGTAAGAAACCATTCTACCTGTACGACTTGCAAATCAACCAAGATGCACATCAATGGGACAACTATCGCTTGTCACTATCCCGTATGCAGTCCATCCGGAACACATCCACTCACTGGCGAGCTACTTGTAACTTCGCGACCAAAACAATGGACTATCGGGATTACATTCGCACGTCGTTTGCCAATACCGATTTTCTTGTAACTCCTGATGGAAATCGTTGCATTCGGTACGAGTTTGTCGACATCCGGGGAAATAGGTGCCAAAACTGCACTGTCTACTCCCCTTACAATCCCAACTTTGATTATCATATCGATAGCTGGTGGGGCAACTTCTGTGACTTCACGGCGAGAACAGGGGGAGTCGAGGACGAAGATAACTTTGGCTTTTATTTAACATGGAACACCGCATTCGGGTGCTCTTCCACACAGACCTCCACAACTGAATACTGGATTGGCGGCCATACATAAAACATCTGAAGATAGGTTTGTATTTCATACATGCCCAACCTGATGCAACAGCAATGAATTTGACGCGTACTTGAGCCAGTGCAAAAGTACCCTGGTTTTAGGGGCTCTCTCTCTTGTCGTTCATTTCTAAGGTGTGCGATGGGAATGCTCTTTCAGTTCTATTGTTAATCTATCTGTTTAATTCTTTCGATTTCTTATCAACCTTTTCCGACGTTCTCCCAAATTCCCAGTTTGCATCCAAACTTAAGCATGGGTTCATTATAAACTCGACGTTCCTGATGAGTCACGCCAGTGTTCTGTCACCGTTCGTTTTTGGAAGCCCTTATCAAGGTAGAGGATAAATTAATGGCTACAGCGAGTTTCAACCAGTCACAATTAACAACATTTCAGACTGCTGAGCAGTGCGTACTCTGGTGCGAGTAGGCTGGGTGTAGAGCTGGTTCCGAAAAGAATCTGGAAAGAGTGGGAAAAGCACGAGTGGGATTGGGTCCTCGCAATCCTCGCCACACCATGGAGTCGACATATTTCAAGAAAGCACAAAAATAACGGAAATTGAGGAGACTATTTGTTATGTACAGAATAGGATTTCATCCAATAGCAGTATAATATGTAGTTTGTCATTTTCGGGCCTATCGCACATTAGTATCACTCAAATAATGGACTAATGCAAATCCTGCTTTTTTTTGGCTACGCTGCTAGAGGACTATTAGTAATAGTCTTCGAGTGGCGAAATTGGCGCGATCGAGCGTGACGCTTTCTTTTGTTTTATTCCCAAATAAATATTTCTTCAACTTGCATTTGCTAACTATATTATTGCCTTTTCTGTCCGACTAGTTGGGTGATACTAAAAAAATTAGACCCTTCGCCCTAAAGGGCCACGGGTCAATAGCCCATTCGGCTTCGCCTCATGGGCTATTGACCCGTAGCCCGCAAGGGCTACGGGACTAATTGTTAAATAGCAGTATAATAAGTAGTTTATCATTTTCGCGTATATCGCGCGTTTACGTAAGGTCGCTAGTTTTGTATCAAATCACTGCTCGTTCCTAGCTTAGCAGCACCATGAATAGAATCGTCCTAATTAAGGTTAAATTCGTAATTTTGAAGATTAGCTAAAAGCATATCAGTACCGTTTTGTGACTGAATTCTTTCCTCGATCATCTAGTGAAGCCTTTTGTTGCTAAATTTCTGGCTTTGAAATGCTTACTGGATTACAAAAGGACTTTAAAACTTAATTTTTTGAAGCGATATTATTTTACGGGTTGAAATGTCGCCATCATGTAGTCGATCGAATTCGTAAAAACAAATAGGCTCTCAATGGGGTTAACCATTAGCCGTAAAACGGGTTAAAAATTAGCCGTTAGGGTAAACAATTTAAAAACATTTCACCGTTGGTCGTTAAAAGTGTAAAAAGATATTTAGCCGCGAAAGTGAAAATCTCGAGATCTCTTGTCAATACTCTTTTTATACTAGTAATCAAATTAATTTTTCACTTTTTAAAACAATGTTTATTCGATTCTAAGATTATGCAAAAAAGGCCAAAATATTAATCGTTAGTCGTAAAGGCCACCACTCTATTGAGCCCGTCAGGTAACCGTGAACACCTGAAAAAATTATGGAATGTTATTGTGTAGCAAGGTAAAAGCTAATTAGGCGAGAGAAAACTAAACCGCAAACAGTAATTAGTTTGTGTTTTGAGGTTTGCTCGCATGGCCTAAACGTTATTGTGATTGCTCAGTAGATAATTGACCTATTAGAAGCAAATCAAAGTGTTCGCGACTTTTTAACTCGCACAGTAACTTGAAACCTGTACGTTTTACTCTACAGTTCTTATATCCTTTATCGGCCATAAAGTTTGTACATATACGATCATGTTTTACTTTTATCGCCTTATCCGTGTAAAGCACACTTGATAATTTCTTAATGAAATTTGCGATGTTTGTAATTAGAATAAAGTTTTTCAGTTCCGTTTGAAATCTGTCTGTATAGTATTCTCTCATTATTAACGCATTTGCCAAATTCCACCAAACGTCCTGGTTTGCATTCAAGCCAACCCTAACGGCCTGAACTCAATTTTATATGAAGTCAGTTTTTCTGATAAGTTTCTGTCTTTGTTCTTTCGGGAAAATGTTTTTGAATGTATCAAACACGAACGACTGTTCTTGACCACGTTTTCAAACATCGAGAAGAGAGTTCAAAATACGATGCCCTGCAAAGTGTTTTAAACGAACTTCGAACTTTACATTTACCGCCATGCGTCAAAGCTAGGTGTTAAAAAAGGAAATTAAAAACAACCATGCCCTGATGCGTACGATAAAAGCTCACTGAGAGACAATATTTACATCTTTCATAGTTAAAAACAGGTTTAGTAAGTAAAAGACTTGTAAGAGACTTCATTTCATGAGGGTAACAGTCAACAGTAGTTAAAATTACTGACAAACTTGTGGCCCTCTAAAAGTAAAATATAATTCAATCAAAAACCTGCAACTATTATAATAAAGGTTAAAATTTTTAATAGTAAAGGTTTAACAAGTAATCAAGTCCTTGCTTCTGGTCAGATACAATACAAACAGATTTTTAACTCAGTTCAGTTCTTGCAAATCAAGTCGGTGAAATTACAACCGTCTCGTTTAGTCCTGAGATTTTCAATCGGCATCAAGCTCCTCGCCTCCAAAAACAATAACCCATTTCGCGTCCTTTTTGATCTCAGGATGAATTCGCTTGGTTTTCGGATCAAATGCTATTTTCAGGGGCAGATATTTTGCGTCCACTATTCCATTCCTAAATCAGAAAGAACGAAAAAAAAAATTCAAAAGAGAACTTCCCTCATCAACAGAAGCCCGCAATACTATACAGAGATTCCAGGTTGCTAGTAGTTAAGTATATCAAACACGAGATACCTTCTCTCACCACATTCCAAACACTGAAAAGATAGTTGAAGATACGAAGACATAAAAGATATTTCCTGAAATTTTTTCCGGGACAATAAATATATATTTTTACGATAACTGCAGAAATTCTCGCGCGCTGCGTGGCTAATTTTTATCGCCAATAAGCGGAGAGACACATGAATTTATAATTTATGCGATGCGGCAACGAGCGAGAGAGGACAAAACTGACAATTTGTTACCGTAGAAATCAAATTGACGTCAGTTTTTCACGAGTCTGTCCTGTTATTGACTATGAATTTCGTCATAACATTGTCAAAATAGTCTGCGGATCCACAACTACTTTGACGATGTTATGACGAAATTCATGATCAATAACAGGACAGACCCATGAAAAACTGACGTCAATTTGTTATTTGATAGCAATGTACTGAAAAATAAGAACTGAAGATTTTAATCTTTGTCTCTATCCTATTGTGCTATTGCCCTATTTAATTTTCACTCCGAAGTAATTATACTTACCTAGCGTGTAAAGCAACCAATCTTTCACGTGCCAATTATGACGTCATTTTACTCCTTAATGACGTCACATTTAAAGATATCCGCCATCATTGGATCTGCCATCTTGCGAATATCAAATTTTTATCAGAAATACCAGAACAGCTCCAAACCTTAAGATTTTAGCATTAACATCTTTACAAAATACAGTATCCCACTGAAACATAAATTCAGTTTCTGAAAAACTCTAAC